ATGTGCATGTGTGTATGTGTGTTTGTGTGTGTGGGGGAGGGGGTGTATGTGCGTGTGTGTATGTGTATTTGTGTATGTATGTTTAGAAGGGAGAGAGTGCAGAGCTGTCAGGATCCTTCTTGGTTCCAGTTCTGGTTTTGGTAGAGTTAGAGAAAGGGGGCTCTCGTGGCCTAGAGGTTAAGGTGTTCGCCTTTCAGTCAAAGATCCCGAGATCGATTCGGGTAGCGACGGAAAATTTGTTTTCTCTAAAATTGTCTCCCTTTCCTGCTCTCTATCAATATTCTGTCGTCTACTTTCGTCTCCACTTTCTGCCCCCACCCTCTCACTACCTTTGCCCTCTCCTCTGGGCCCCTGACTCTTTCCGCAGCCTTTCTACTGCTACTCCTTGATTCCTTTTTACAGCTGTCTTTAAGCCACACTCCTGATCTTATGGTAGGTAAGATTTACACCTGGCCTTCTCGGACAGGGGCAAAAAAATCTCGAAGATCCCGTGTGCAAGTCCAACTGAAAATGTTTGGTGTGCCCCGGGCGCTCATGTGACCTTAGGCAGTTGCAGGGGCCGTAAAACACTTACACAGAAAAAAAATAATAATAAAGAGAATGTTGGGAGCGGACAAGGGAACTGATTTTTCCCACCCAAAAAATTAAACACTGATGTATGGCCTTCCATAGACAACTGCATCTGCCCTCGACACTTAACAGCAAGAGAAGATGAAAAAGGGAAAGTAAGTACTGCTGTGATTAATAAAAGAGTTGTCCGGATCACATTAGAGCCGAGGAAGAGACTATTTCATGGGCTAGAAATTATGTCTACAAAAGCACGTTTGATTTTCAGTGTAGAGTTCAATGATATTTAAATTGTTTTGGTGACCATACAAGTTCTGATACACTGTAAACACGTCTTCTAAGCTGTTTATGTATTTGTTTTTTGTTTTTGTTTTGTTTTTGTTTTTGTCTTGTTTTTGCTTTCCTCCGCTTCAAGGCATGGCGGTGGGCCAGACAAACTGCCCTCACGCTCCGGATTTTGCATGGGGGCCGTAGTTTGGTGACCCAAAGCTCAGTTAATATCATCACGCCGAACTGCGATCGAAGGGCACTCGAATCCCCAGGACCTTTTCTAAGGGGGTGTGGGAAGAGATT